TTTTTCACGTACGATATAATGTGAAACGGGAGTTATGGAACATTTTAATTTATTTAATTCATACTAATATTATCAATGTGAAAGTTTAGATGGATGGATGTTTGTTACAGTTTGTAGTCTAAACTGATGAACGGATTTAAATGTAGTGTGTAGTCTGTAGTCTGTAACACATAGGCTACTTGGTTTTATTTTTTTTTAATACCACGTGGACGGAGTCGCGGGCGAAAGCTAGTTAATACTAACTGATGGCGTTAATAATTAGGGTAGAAAGGAATTAACACATAAGCCACAAAATGAATATACAAGTAACAAGGTAGAGATTTCCAATCACAAACATTTTAATCAGCTGGTACGATTTCTTTAGTATTTTCGTTCATATTACATTTTTGTAAAAGTTTAGAGGTAAAAATAAATAAGGAAATGACCTCTCTACTTGTTATTTAAAGATTATTACATCAAGGTCAATCCTAGAATTCAAGTAATGGTTCTTTTTGTGCAAGATTATCAGTATTTTTCATCTCTAGCCAATATATCTAATAGCATACCTAAGCCCCAAAGAAATAGAAAGACATCCATCAATCACGACTTATTCGCCGTCCTCCCATAGTGGCTCATTACTTATGTTGATTGACATAGAAAAGGACATTACCAAGTGAATTATCTCTTTATTTGGACATGATGTTAATAAATGTTTATTAATGAACGAGGCGATGGCTTGCACATAGTGACCAGTATCGGTATTCTATAAATATGTTACATACTTAAATGAATGTTATCGAAAACTTTCGTATAATTCAATTGTTCCGATAAGCAATTAATGAATAAAAATATGAAAGTAATTCCTGTTACTGAGTATTTTGCGGTATATCTTATTTTTTTAATTTGTTGAGAGCTGTATAGTTAGTTAAACTGGATGAGCTATTATAAACCAAATAATAAAGTTAATAAAAGTAATTACGGTTTTACAAACTTTTTTATTTTTGCATGTTTTCATAAGAAAAGTTAACTACAGCTTGTGCGAGATGTTACTTGAGCGTTGAACAAAAGTTTGTTCAAACAGGCGTCGACTTCCTTTCATAGGGCGGTACGCAGGTTTCTATTGTTCTCAAACTGATACTAACGAAACACGACATGTCGTTTACGGAAAGCCTTTGCGTACAATGACTTTGTGATTTCATGCAAAATTGAAGGAACTTCCGCTTTTAACGACGTCAAAACAAAAGTGCTCGTTAAATTTGCTATAAGAATTTTTACATAGATGTTTAGCCTCACTTTAGTTCGTTTTAAAGTCTGATTTAATAATTAAGCTATTTTAAACAAGTTTTCAATCTTGTCTTACTACTTTTAGCAGATGTCGGTAAATAAAAAAAAACAATTGAAAAACACTGGCGCTGGATCGTGTGACTGGACTAGAAAATGTAAACTGGACGTAATGGTATGTTTGTGAATGTTAATAATATGACGATTAAATGTGATTAAGTCGCCAACGAAGTTGAAGTGAGGCGGAGACACGGAGTATTAAAATCGTCTTAAGAATATATTCTCCTATAGGAGAAATTAATATTACGAAGCAAACATCCACTGTTTAATATTCATTACCATGAATATTGGATTAGCCAAACAAGTATTCTCTTGTTTGTTTTTTATATATGTTATAATTTCGATAAGAATGACATTTTAAAAAAATATGACAGTCGAGCGGTAAGACTACGTTCTGGCCACTATCCAACAGGAAGTTTTGGATATCTGATGAGGAAAAACCTGTCGCCTAATTGCGAGATATGCAGAAAGCCAGAAGATATCCAACACTTGCTGTTGGAGTGTGAGAGAAACAGACGGGAGCGCGAGCTACTTTTCCGGGAGCTAAAGCTCAACCCGTCCGATGTAGGCATATTTATGTCAATATTGGTTGAGCCAGCATCTGATGCGGCTGTACGATTCTGCCAGCTCGTTTCTTAGGATCTACTAGCAGCACTATGGGATTGATATGTCTTTCCCAAGACAAAAATCCCCTTTACCTAATTAAGATTTAAAAAAGAATTCTATAAAACAAATACACTAAGGCAACAACGAAAATGACGTGACGACTAGAAATTTTGTAACAATATAATTATCTTACTATAAAACTGATTGTGATTTCTAAATATAATTTTTTATGCTATAAAGTAGCAATCAAGCAAGCAGCACCCTGAATCCGCCAAAATGATACAATTATAGAGTATGCATTGTTAGATATTTCGACACAAATGACTTCCTTTAAAATATAGACGGACAGCCATATTAACAATACTTGTAAATTACTGTAAAACACACAAACTGAACTCCAATGCGACAACGCAAATATATCGAACGTTCCGTTGTGACGACTAGAAAAAAAACAGCTTGTTCGTCACTGAGCGCCGAGACTACGACTGAGAGCCTGAGGAACAGCGCAAAGTTCATTTATAGGACCGATCCACTATCTTGCATATGAAATGACCTAGAAAATATAATTTAAGAGTGCTACCTTTATCAATACGCAGATGATACTTGCTTGATACCAGCTAGATTCAACTTAGATATCGCCATGGGACGCCTTCAAAATGACTTCACATTAATGAATATGAGGGATCACGATATTGGACTAAAACTGAACACAGAAAAAACGAAGATCATTCACGTTCACTCGAGCCACATTAAAAATGATACACAAATAAAAATAATTGCTCATTGTCCCTCATGCCTCCACAAAACCCCATCTGTCTGTACATGCTGTCAAATAAAGTAAAACATCACACCTATCTAGGATTAGTTATTGACTATC